GGGAAGGGAGGCATAAATGGATTTCTTTCTAAATTTAAAATAAAATTCATCATTTAAAAATATACAATTCAGTGCTCTATCCATTTTTAAAAAAATGCTTTATTTCTTACTAAGCAGGACCTTATGCTTTTAGTACACTGGTAGAGTGTTGGCTTTAAAAAAAACCAAAACAACAAAGAACAAAAAACACACAACATACCCCAAATATCCAAAAGATGAATAGGTAAATACAATTTAGTATACTCAGTAGATTATTCAGTAGTCATAAAGAGAAATACACTTTTGATGTATGCTGCTGTTGTTGTTACTGGTATTATGGAGTTAAGTATGACACATAGTGGCCCTATGAGCAATAAATCTGAACCTTGTCCTTTCCTGTGCCATCCTCACAATCTCTGACATACTCGAGTCTACTGCTGCGGTCACTGTATTAATCCATCTGATTGAAGGTCTTCCTCTCTTTCACTGACCCTCCACCTTTCCAAGCATGATATACTTCTCCAAGAAACAGCCTTTCCTGGTAACATGCCCCCAGGAAGCATTCTGGCTGCACTTTCTTCAAGACATATCTGTTTTGGTAGTCAATGCGATGTTCAGTACTCTTCTCCAACATCACAGCTCAAAGGAATCAATTCTTCTGTCATCCTTATTTATTGTCCACCTCTCAGATGCAAAATAAGTGACTGAAAAAACAGTGGCCTGAAGTAGGTATTAACTTAGCCAAAGCCTGCTCAAGGATTGAGAAATTGTATATGGTTGACAAAGCATCCAAATACATCCCTATTGCTCACCTGTATCTGCAAAAACCAGCCTGCATCTCTACAGTCACATGAGTCATTCCCTGACAGGTCTGAGTCTCTGGAGGACCTTCAAGAGGATCACTGAACCCAAAGGCCATAGAGGAATTGGGGAACTGAGCTGTGGATGGAGCAGTTAATGTTAGAAATGATGGATTTATAAAGCTGGTTAAGCATTTCGGGACTACATTGACCTGTGACTTTTCATAGAGTCAGAACCTACCTATAGCTCACCCTCCAGTGGGTTTTCAGAGGCAGTTAATTACATGGGAGGAGATAGCCCATCTTTCTCCCCAGGAGCAGATGGTGGCCTCAAACCACATACCTTTGGGATTACAGTGCAGCTTCTTGCCAGTAGGCCACTAGAGCTCTTATAAGTAGTCTGCTATTAATCTTGTTGTTTGTTGTTGTTGTTAAGTGCCGTCAAGTCGCAGGCGACTCATAGCGACCCTATGAAGGAGAGTCCTCAACGCTTGGGTGTCTCTCATCCTCTCTCCAGGTTCATGGGGTTTCCGGAGGCAAGCTATTAAAGAAGTGGATGCCACTCCTCCTTCCAAGCTTGTTTTACTTGGGGAGCTCCACCCCACTCTCTGTCCGCATTGGGTAACCAGCCATTAACACATTTGACACATCAGTGTCACAGTGTTCAGCCTCATGACAACCACAAGTTAATGCTGTACGGCAACTTGTACACCAGGGCTATACACCTAGAGGAATGTTTTACCAACCAGGCACACCCAAATGCTGGCAAAGTCCTTCCGTCAGACCCCCAGTTCATCTGGCATGTCCACTCTGTCGACCCCCACGTGGGGCCCAAAGAACACCAAAATTGCCCTGAGCCCTCAAACATGTCGTGCCTCAAGGAGCCAGAGTCTGGATTCAGCTGACATTAAACCTCCCAAGACTGCTATTAATCTTAGCAGAACAAATAATAAAAACAACTGGATGCAGCTGGATCCTTAGCCACAACTCATAGCAATCCTATGAACAATAGCTTGTCCTAT